ACAAAAAAAAAAAAAAAAAAAAAAAAAAAAAAAAAAAAAACCAAGAAGAAAATAAAAACTTGCTACATAATTGACTCAAACTAACATCAAGACAAAAGCGTATCCAAACAAGTTGTTATTCACACAACATAATTTACCAATCCCAACAGACACTCAACAAGCTCAGGTACCAACGAAACTATATTATAGAAATAAGGAATTGAGGATAAGTTCTACATTTTGAGTATACAGCACACTCTAACATAAGAATTTTCCACAGTATGAACCCTTCCAATCACCTTGCATTCATTGCTACTAACACCACACACTCTCCGAATCAAAAATTAAAAACGTTACAGCACCAGAAACAAATAATCTTTATATTAAATACCTTGGGGGCAACAACGGTGGCGGCTTTGACAACCAAAGGCCGAAAGGGCTTTCGCGAGAGGTTTCCGATGGTGACGCGGCGAGCGGAGGGAAAGTGAAGCAGGGAGGGTCGAAGGGCTTCAAACGACGGCGTAGAGACAGAGGAGGCGAGTGCTGTGAGCTGAGCGGTGGCCATTGATTGGAGGTTAGACTGCAGAAAGCAGAAGCAGGTGTTGAGAATTTGAGTGTGAAAGCGAAGCGGAGAAGAGAGTAGGGAATTAGGATTACCTTGCGAAGAAGAGAGGTTGGAAGTAGCGTTGAAAGATGAAAGGATGAAGATAACAAAACCCTAAGTAGAGATGGGGGTTTTATGTGATGATAATGGACCCTTCTAGAACCAACTAGTTTCAGCAGAAGATGGATAGTGTCAGTGTCAGTCACGCGCCCCACTGGCCCTGTTACCAATTCTTGTTTCTTGGCTTCGCAAAAATAAAATTCACACAAAATCAAAAACTCTATTTTATACATTAAGTAAATATAGTTTAATTGGCTGGGATAAGTAGTAATATTTCATGTCCTTTCACAACTTATTCAAGGTTTGAACTCTGTAGATTATGATAGATATTTTGTTTTTATGAACACTTATAGTCTTTTAGTGTAGAAATTAATCACACCTTTTGATTATAAAATTTTGTATTAATATCATGATTATAAATAAATAAATATATTTTAAATATTTAATTTTCATTTCATATTCTTTTTTCTTTCTCTTTCTTCTCTAATCTCTTTTTCTTTTCTTTTCTTTTTATTCATTTCTCTTATTTATCTATTTTTCTTAGTTTTTTCTTATATTTTTTTATCTATCAATTGATGTATAATTTATTGATATGTATTTTTTTTAATTATTAAATATTTAAAATGCTTTATATTATTAAATATTATCCATTATTAAAATTTTCAAATTATTAAAATTTATATGTTTATTTTTAATAAAATTTAATATTGAAGTATAAAATTCTAAAAAAATATATTAAAAAAAACTTTGTAAGTTATGATAATGACCCTCAAAATGAAAATGAAGTTTTCAATTTATGTCATACATCCTTAAAAAAATATGATCAAAAGGATATTTAGTATTTTTAAACCATGTTTTACAATTTTTAAGTTAGGGTCTCTATTTCTATTTAAGGCGCAAGTTGAATTTGTATTAGCATATAGTATTATATAACTTCCATAGCAAATAATGTCATTTTGATGATTTTTCAATTGAATTAGTGGATGAATATTTATCTTCAATGCTATTAGTTAATGAAGACTATAGTTTTAAACATGTTGTTCAAACTCAAGTACATGAAGCAGAATAGGGATAACAAATAAACTTGTATTCGTGCGTAATACACGAACACGTCCTGACTTTGACAAGGAATACTCGGTTTGATTGAGTATTGGTACGGGTAAAACTTGATATATTAAATCGGGTACGGGTACGGGTACGGGTATAAGTACTTACCCGCCCCATATTTGTCTCCGTACCTGTCCCCATCCTCGTCCCCGTCCCCGGTTTAATACCTACTTTCGATTTAATTGTGTTAAAGAATTTTAATATTTATTATGTGTGATTATTTATTATAATGTGAAACATTTATAGTTATTTAATTATTAAAAAATCTCTTGATTAAAATATGAGATAGAGAAACAATCTAATTATAATTGTAATATAATGGAAAAATAATTTAAAAATATTGTGTATTTTTTTGAAAAAAAAAATTGACGGGTACAGGTATATCCGATACTCGACAGGGACGGGGATGTGGACAAAAATTATATACCCAACGGGTATGAGTACAAAGATGGGGATGAGTTTGAGTCACAAGGATGAAAACGGGTATCATGAAATTCGTACCCGACCCACCTTGTTGTCATCCCTAAAGGAAAATATGTTAATGCATAGAGGGTTAGTATAACTTTAGATATGTGAAGAAATGTTAATTAGGAGGATATTAAAGTCAATTATTTGTCAAAAGATAGAGACAACTATTTGTCAAAAGATAGAAAAATTGTATTAATTTTACTTTTCTTTATTATTTATGTTATATTTTCTTAATTAAATATTGTAGTATTGTAAATCCATGTGTTTCTTGTAAAATTCATAAAATCCTTTAAATTCTTATAATATAAATTCATCAAAATCCATTAAATTTTGAATAATAAAGTCTTCTAAGTTTTAAAAGTCTTTTAAAAAAATTTCTAAAAGTCATGATATTCCTATAAAGTCTTTTAAAATCTATTAAAATTTACAAGACTTTTTCATCCTAAAATTATCTTTTAAAATCTTAATCCAATACACCCTTAGAGATTTAATTAAAAACATCTAAAAAAAATAAAATAAAGGTAATTAATTATCATATCTAAAAGAATTTTTCATATAACAATATTCGACCAACATAAATTAATAAGATTGTAATGATGTTAAGATTGTAATAAACATAAATTATCATATAAAAATAATTTTTTGCTCCCTTGTCTTTCTTTTTTTCTCTCTCTTTGTCCTCTCTCACTCTCATTCTTTCTCTCTCTGATCTTTTTTTTTCTATGTTTCTCCTCACTCTTTCTTTCCTATATCATCTCTCTCTCTCTCTCTTTCTCCCCTATTTTTTTTTCTCTTCTCATGTCTTCTCTATCTCTTAGAGCTTTCAGCGTTCTTGATGAAAGGTCAAAGTGTTGGTAATTTCCTTAAGTTTTGATACTTGCATATTAACCTAGTTAGGAGTTAGGTTGCATGAGGATTTTATTTCAGGTATAAGTCTTTTGTGCTGAATGTGTGAGTTGATTTGGTTTAGAATTGTAGTGAAAAGCTTGGATATGAGTTTAAGGTGGAAAGAAGTGATTTTGGAATGGTTGAGGTATTTTGTGGGATGTTAGTACACTATTGCTGTAATGTGTATAGGATATTTTCGTTGCAGTTTTGTTGTGCCAATATCAGTATAGTATTGATAGATCTAGATTTTATGGTCTTCACAAAAGTTGTAGCCTTGGACATTATCTTTCCAATGAAACTGGAATCAGGTAAAACGGAGGTCTAGACCTCTAGTTATAGCTACTTTGGTGATCAAAGGTCTAACTACAAGTGCCGAATATATCTGCTGTGGTTTTTGAAATTTTTAGCTAAGAAGATGATCTTTTAGAATCTTATGTCTTCATAAGAGTTGTAGCTTATTCTCTTAGCTTTCTTTTGAGATAGGTTTGAGATCATTTGGATGAGTATAAACTCTCTGTGTGTCATTTGCTTTGACAGTTGTTGAAGGTAGGTATATGTTGTCATGATGTTTTTGAGTTGTTAGGCATAGCAAGGATAAAAATAGATTTGGATATGATGTTTTGAGGTTTTGTCATTGAGAGGTTGTTTAAGATGATATGATGCTATGTGGTAAGGTTGGTTCATGTACATGCTATATGGTGTAAACGATGATTGATTCGTATATGCTTAGGGATGGTATATATGAAGGTTTAAAGTAGGTATTCTAATATG